AAAGAAAGATAGATTGATAGACAAGTAGATAGTTAGATAGCTGGAGAGATAGATAGATAGATAGATAGATAGGTAGAAGGTTCATAGGTATAGGTAGACAGAAATTTGTGTGTGTGTGTATTCGTGTGTATATTCAGTTATATAGTATGTACAGAAATATTCAGATAGATACGCTGTGGTCTTAGTGTCTTTAATTTAAGAAGTGGCACCGGTGGGTTTGGGCTCCACAGTATGTATAAATATTCATGTACATGCATGCATATATATATATACATATACATACACACATCTGCACACACACGCACACATACTTGTACATGTACATATATATATATATATTATATTGTATATTTACGCGGGTGCTTGATAGATTTAGAGATAGATAGAAAGATAGGTAGGTAGGTAGGTAGGTAGGCAGGCAGGTAGGTAGGTAGGTAGGTAGGTACGTAGGGAGACAGGTAGATAGTCAGGTAGATAGATAGCTCTTCAAAACTAGAAATGATACTAAGACCAACAGCAACACTAGCAATAACAATAACAGTAGCAATATCCAAGATTAGCAACAGCAACAGCCACATGATCATCAATCACAGCAGCAGCATTAATCGCAGTATTCTAGTTATTTCAGTAAGCAAACAATGAAGGCATAAATCTACGTATGATAACCTCAATAACAATAGCAGTAACAACAACAATAACAATAACAATAGCAACAGCAATAACACTAGGACTAGCAACAATTGTAATTTTACTTGCTAGATGCATGCACACACACCAAGCCAAGCCAACCAAGCCAAGCCAAACCCTGTAACAACTAGAGCACTGAAAGCCACTGTCTGCAAAAAGCTCTATCGAGCAGAAACTCCATTGAACAGGAGCCTCCTGTCTAACAGTAAGCCCCTATCTAATTGAAACTTCGGTCTATCAGAAAACCCTTGTCTAACAGAAGACCTTGAACACCAAGAAGGAAGCCCCAAGATCAGGTTGCACCGAAAGAGACTGCACACTGTACTCGTAGATACAGGTATGTGTGTGTATATATATATACATATATATATATATACATACGTATACATGCATAAATAATGCGGTTGGAAATATTTCTGTTCTTCTTCATAACATGTTATTCGGCAGCGTATTGTAAGGGAGATTGGGGTGTTCAACGCTTTGGAGGTTCTGGCGCGACTTAGGGCTCAGGGTTATTCAGTGGTTTGACTTTGGGGGCATGAGAGCTCGGCTTCAGGGCCCCGGACTTTGATTGTCTCCACGAGAAAGACGAAAGAACAGTAGCGTCAAACACACACACCCGAAGCTCTCATCTTCGAAGCCGATGCACTCTCTGTTTTCCCTTGACCTCCAGTCCAGGTCCCATCCCCGATCCGCAGCAATAGTAGGCAAAACCACTCTGGCCTTTCGTAGGTGCAAGACGTTATATAAGGGTCCTATACTTGGGGACCAAGGCACCTAAAGCGGGTGAATGTAGAGCCACATCTGTAAGATCTTTATGGGTTAAGGTTTAGGGTTTTTATTTGTCCTTATGGATTAAGGTTTACAGGGTTATTATTTGTCATGTTGATCAGCTACTGTAGGGCTTTGGTTGTCTGCAGGCTGGAACTGACCAACACTCCCAAGCTTGACCCCGAATACATGACCTTTAGACCCGTAAGAGGTTTTCGCCGTACCCATAACATTAAACTCTGAATCTAGGGAGCTCTAGGCGTGCGGATGATGAACGAGACGACTGACATGATGATTGCGATGAAGGACTACAATCCGGCTACTGGGCTTTTGATTTTGATAGCTTTGCAACAGGAATCAGAGCAAGCGCGACTTAAGCAAGTATGTAGCAGCCTCAGAATTTTTTTTGCGCACAGATTCGTAAGGACATATCCTGTAGCAGATCTGTGGTACAAGTTTTAAGGAGAGCAAACGATGCGCTGGGTGAACAGACTTAAGCAGGTTCTTCCACTGTGAATATCTTCCCCGAGTTTGTCTGCCTATTGTGTAGGACCGCAGGCTCAAACTAGTCAAGTCACTTAGACGGTGACCGATTTCGGATGCAGAGGACACCGCCAATATGTCAGCAAGAGCGGTGTTGCTATTATAACCCTAAGGCTCAAAATGGCCCAAAAGCCTTACATAGAGTGGTCTTTGGGCCCCAAAGCCTTAAAATATGAGTCCTTAGAGCCTTAGGGTAAGAGCGGAGAGCAGCATTGGGCATCTACATCCCAAGAGCGTAGTCTTAGACGTGTCATAGCTAGGTTCCCGAGTAGTACCCTTTCACCCTTTTTTATTTGGGGGTCTCCTTATTAAAGCCGAATATTCGGAATAAAAAAGGGTACCCTTATTATTAGGGGGGTAGTAGGGAACCTAGATAGGAGACCCTAATCCCTAAACCCATTAAACCCTAAACCCTAAACCCAGTATCCGTAGCGAATGAAGGTTGTAACATGTTTTTGCACTTGCAGTCACAGGTCTCGAGAATGTAACATGGGCTAAGCTAGTTGTTGAAAGTATTGATCAATTACCCTGCGGCTCTAAGGACTCATGTTTTGAAGCTATCCGTCAGTACATAGTCGTGTAGCCTTACGGCACAAGCACTCACCATAGTGTCGCGCCTAGACATAACAGCACCATCGTGAAGCAGGGCACCACTTGCATCTCGTCGTCAACAACCATGCATCTCTAACTGTCAACCACCATACATTGGCCGTACATCAAAGACTTTCATCAAAAGGAGGCATAGCTGTATGTCTCTATCTATCTATCTATCTATCTATCTATACATTACACTATGCTTCCAAGGACTTTATAGTTAGGGCCCTAGACCCCTTAAGGACCCAATAATAAGGTCCCTGGAAGCATAGGGTTATATGTATGAACCCTAAACCCTAACCCCTAAACCCTAAACCCTAAACCGCTAGATAGGTATTCGTTGTAGTTCAGCAAGCCAAGCAGTCCCAAAGCCTACACCCGGAACATGAAGAACCCTGGGTAAACGCTAAACCCGTAGAAGCTCCATGCGCTGGCTTAGGGTTTAGGGTTTAGGGTTTAGGGGTTTAGGGTTTATGGGTTTAGCTGTCTTGGTGATGTCTTTTCCTTCCTGCACGATCGGGTAGGGTTTTGGTTCATGCTTAGATACGCGCAGGGGGGTTTGTGGTGTCCTGGTTCTTGCTGTGCCGGGAACGGCTATTGAGAAGCAGGTTTGAAGCACAAGGGTTGTAGGGGTTGCACGCAGCACTGTCCTTCGATCCAAGGACATTTGGAATGGCCATGTGCGCGCCGCGAACATGGCTGCTGCCGAGGAACTTGAAAGGGGGTCCCTTGCATGCGTGGTGCAAGTGTTATGTTTTGGAGAGGTTACCTTTAGTATGGATTCGTTCTGAGGTTTTTGGAAGCTAGAAAGACCCTTTTGGCCATTATGCAGGCCCCTCAACGAGAAGAGGCTTGATTTCAGAAGCCCGTACTATGTCACCCAGGCCAAACCCTAACCGCCTTAACCCCGAAACCCTAAACCCATAAACCTAAGCCAGCGGCATCTGGATTCAGAACTGAAGCCTTAAACTTTAACTGCAAATCGACACCTCTGGAGCCTGCGCCCCCCTAATCCTTTTTGTGCGAGACCCAGCCGTTGAAAGCCAAAACCTGCCACCGAAACCCAGAATAACCATTGCCCCAATACCCTAAAGCCTAGTAGCCTTAAGCCCTCAGAGCCGTAGGCCATGAACCCTAGGGTTTAGGGTTTAGGGTTTCTGGTTTAGGGTTTAATGGCCCCTGCAACCTTAAATTTGATTCTCGTGAGAGCCGTGGATGCCGAAAGCCTGATCTGTGATCCTGACACCATCCCAAGCACTACAGGGCTTGGGCTTGGAGCAGATTTTTGGGGATAAGACGCCGAAGTGCAGAGTTTACGCGTTCAGGGCTTAGGGCTACGAGGCGTTACGAGGTTTAGGGGTCTGGTGGGGTTGGCTTTAGGGATTTGTGGGGGACGGGTTCCGGGTTATGGAAGGAACCTGACCTGTTTAAAGCCCCGAGACCGAGAGCGTTGTAGACCCATGAGTATCTTCAGTGCCCCCAGTAACTGTGGCACCGTTTTGTATACCCGTGTGTTTTGGGGGTCTGCACGGGAAACCTACCCTTACCACTGCCGGGGTTGGATTTAGTCCAAACCCGGAACGCTTCAAGAAGAATCCACTGAGGAGGCTTTCCTTCCACCCGTCGCGTTTATGTAATCCTTGCAGCCCAAGCGCTGCTGAAACCCCTAGCGAAAGCCTGCAGTCCCAACGCCTCAACCCAGCGCCGCAGGACATGATCGCAAAGCTCGGCCCCAGATTCACACCGCAATATGTAAGTCGCCTGACCAGTGCCGGCTCGCACATCGCCGTCCTCTTGCCGCACATGGCGCATGTTTCCCCTGGTTTCTTTGATATAGGGGTCGAAAATTTAGTGATAGTACGTATTCCTTCGGGTTCCTTCTTCGCATTTGCCTGTAGTGTGCCCCATTTTTCTTTGCTCCGATACTTTGCATCTCTATTTCTACATATCGCTGACAGGCAGTACTCAACTTCGACGAGCTTCCCAATACAGAGATCGGAAAAATTAGCAACACGATTCACTGATACCCATAGGCTTCTAAGTAGTTCCTTTTTATGGTTTATATTTAGAACCCTATAAGGTAATCCCAAAAAGGAACTACTAAGGAGCCTATGGATAGTTTCTACTGCCCAGATTCCTACGCGCTCGAACCAAAAGCCCTCGACTAGACCCAAACCTCAAACCCTGAAGCCCCAAAGCCTGAAATCTTCAATCCCAACTCCCAAGGCGCTAGTTAAGCCCGGAGGCCCACAATCCTGCATACCTCATGCCCGGAACACCTGGTTTAGTGTTTAGGCATTTAGGGTTTCGGGGGTTTAGGGTGAAGACCCTAAGTGCACCCAGTCAAACCTCAGGCATGGGCCTTGGGCGTAGTCCGGTGCTACCAGATCTACGTTTCCAGTCAGGCCGGCGATGAAACGATGTCTCTGGAGCCCTCACTCGCAATTTCAAGGGATCAGGGGCGGCTGGGGTCTGTCTTAGGGCGGCTTGGGGTTCGGGCTTTTGAGGCTTTTTCAGGTTCTTGATTTAAGAGTTTAGGGGCTTTGGGTCTAGGGTTTAGGGGTTTAGGGCTTGTAGGGTCTAGGGTTCAGAGTTTAGTACAGGCATAGGTAAGCCTTAAATGAAGCTTCTCTGGGGCACTATACTCCCGACAAGTTACCCAGGGTTAAGCTTTCCGATCTCCCTAATATACTGGGCAAGTCAGAGTTTCAGTCGAAGGAGGCCGGGGAGTAGGGTCCCACATGACAGCATGCCCACATACTTATAAAGTAGATTGCAAGATTATAGGTACTATCAGGCTTTTGCAACTGCAGCTTTGAAGGAGCAGGTTGCTGAGTTATCAGTAGTATCACACCTCTACATCAGGAGTGGAGATGGCTGGGCACCTGGGGATGCCGAGTTCTCGAGTTCTCTAGGCGCTTCTGGTTGCTAGTGAATCTCCCATATTCATATTGCACGTGCCAGCGTTGGAACCAGGATCTTAAATTCTAAACTTTGCGAATCATCTGAGCGTAGGAGATGGGGGAAGAGGGGAGGGCGACAGTCGGATAATATATCTAGGAATGTTACTGTTCCGCGCTCCTTCCTACAAGTATACCATACTATGCACGATACTATACCTGTACTTTTCTATTCTACACCTACCACCCAAACCCCAATTCTCCTTACCTAGGCCCCTCCAGTAGCTTGCAAAAGTTCAGGTTCCTCATGACAAGCCCTTAACATTAAACCATTAACCCGAGCCCTTGCAAGAATTAGGAATACGTGGTTTAGGGGTTACCGGTTAGGGGTTCAGGGTTTAGGGCATAAGCCGTAAGCCCTTTTGTAAGCCCGTAAACCTCAACCCTTTAGCCGTTAGCCACGATCATTCCGGGGGGTTTACGCATCATGTGTTTCGATTATTTTTTGTGCCACTGAAGGCTTTTATGGACAGGCTCCTTAGTAGTTCCTTTTTGGGATTACCTTATAGGATTCTAAATATACACCACAAAAAGGAGCTACTTAGGAGCCTATGGGTAGACAAGCATTTTCGGGTATACAGTAGTTTGTACATGGACTGCAAACAGTCAGTATTGCTTCTTGTTCAGATCAACCCCCAAAAAACCCGAATCTAGACCCCTACTAGAGACTATAGGAACCGTAATTAATGTAGGATCGTTATGCCGTTATGAAGGGTTCTGTACAGGGGCTCTATAATATGGAGTAATATAGGAACCCTGGTTCAGAAGTTTTGGTGGCGAAGACTCTTTTGAGTTGTGTAGTAATAGTACTTGTGGTTACTGGGGACGACAGGCATACGCACATATGCACCATTTGCCACATAAGTACCCCCATGTTTTCGTGGACAGTTCGTTTGTTTATAAGCTAAGGCCAGGTGTTTATAAACAACGGCACATAACATTATGTTTCCCTTAGGCAGAAACACCGTGATCCACCGTAAATACTAGATTTTTCATAGTTTGCTCGGTCAAACAAGGTCTCGGTCTAAACCACACAGGCCGACACATGGAGAAAATCCTACGTATCAGTGTGTCAGTGTGCAAACTTTGCGTTACGATCAGGTTTGTGAACTTGTTGGTGCTGGTGCTGTTGGGGGTGCAAGGGTGGGGAGGGATGGGGGGAGGGGTCTCGGTAACAAGCCAACACCACCCCGCCCCTCCCCCCCGGACATAATGTAATGAGTACGAACAAACAAGCAACCAGCACGTATCAGACAAGAGTTATAAGCATCTAGCTTTACATATGTATATACGAAAACGAGGCACAAGACAATGAACAAATGCACCACCCAAAACGCTGAAAGCACGGTATTCCGAAACGCGGTGTTTGTAAACAAAGCCAGTGCTTATAAGCAGACCTGGCGGTTTGTGACAACTCAGAGTTGATGTTGCAGTTGGAAATAAAGGTATGCACGCGCGTGCACCAGACGACGACCAACTGACACAAAAAAAAACCCACACACACACACCCTAAACCCTAGACCCTAAATCCTAAACCCCCACCCACACACACACACACACCAACACTGGAAGCATACAGAACCACTGAACATAGTGGGTTGCAGAAACGCCCTTCAAAAGAGTCCTTTCTGTACTGCTGTTGCTATGATGATGTGTTGATAATGATAATTCTTATGATTTATTTTGCTACGACTTACTACTACGACTTACTACTACTACTACTACCACCACCACCGCTACTGTTATTCTCATTCTGTGTGTTCTTATGATTCCGCGCCAAGGAGTTGGAGAACTCGGCCCCGCTGAGCTTGTATGCGAAGTGCCTGGGCCGCTTGTTCTGCAATGGAGGTTCGAGCGGGATTCTCATGGGGATTACGCTGTAATGTAGCATAGAAGCCTCAATAATTGCCAATACTATTCCGTGGGGCTCCTTGTGAAAATCATACTACCCCAGAAGAAGGCTAGATTAAGCCGTCTGTGATCTAGTGTAGGAACCTGGTCAAAAGACCCTGGCCCTGCAACGCAGCAAAAATGGAGGCTCATAGAAAGAACCCGAGTAAAGACCCAGGTTCTTAGAGTACCTCCAACTACCACAAGATACTCTGGTATGTTGTAAGGACTCTGGGAGCTCTAACTGCATGATAGGAATTTATATTCAGACCAAGTAGGTCAGGTAGGGTGAACCCTGCACCCTAAACCCTAAGCCTAACCCTGAAAGCAAAGTCCTAAGCCCGAAGCGCCACACCGCTTTGGCAAAGCCCGAGGATGGGCCACATGGGTCTTTAACTGTACTGCTTTGAGTTCAGGGCCTCCAGATATACCTCTGGGATTTCGAAAGTTTGGGGGTTTTCGGGGGTGCAAGGGTATATCTGAAACGTCGCCATAGGACCCGGCTTCCGAAAATTGGATGCAGGCATCAATCTTTTGCGCGGAGTTCTCACAATAATATACAACCCAAGGCTCCATGGGACCCATTTGGCGATTACGCACTTGGGTTACTTGGGTTCAGGATTTTAGGCTTGGCGAACTCCCCAGATCTCGGAAGGCTGTAAGTTCCCACACCTTGCGTTTCCCCAACCCAAACTGGCAGACGAGCGGTTTAGGGTTCAGGGTGTCAAGGCTTCGAGTCAAGATACTTTGCTTTCGTAGTGTTCGGGTGTTTAGATCCAGGTCCCGACTGCAAGCAGATCGCGGTCTCGTTGCTGGTGAACATCGAGCCAGCCATTAGCGCGCTTGAGGGCGCGCCTCTAGTTGACAGGAGCGCGCCTCGAATTGCCATTCAGCCTCTTGGCTGGACGATGGGATGCACTGGGCCTTGTGGATATACCCAACCCCAAGGGTTGAAAGGGTCCCAACAAGCTATAGGTATTTGGCAATTTGGGTATAGGATAGTGGTAGTGTAGGTTACTAATTGCTGGGTAAATAATTTATACTTGCAACCTCGGGGGCCCAATAACTTTAACCCCTAAACCGCCTAAACCCAAAGTCTTCGCTTAGGGCCGGACAACCGCCGCTGCGGAGCCCCAAAGCGGCCCGAGCTTCGCGAACGGCAGAGAACGCATATCCGGAGCCTAAAGGGGTAAACTAGGCGACTGGCACCATGCCGGCTGGCCCCTCGGGCACCTTCCACAGTAGTGGTATAAAGGAGAAACCCTAAACCCGAGGGTTTTTTGTTTCACGTCCTTTCGACACGGGTTGCACCCTGCAGCCCTCACCATTTGGAGCGGCTAGTGAAAGAACAAGGAGGCCACCCAACGCTGCGTTGAAGCAGCCTGCCCTCTTGACAACGGGCCCCAACCCTTCACGAGTTGGAGCCGCCTGCCCTCTTGACAAGGGTTGCATCCCTCAACCTTCACGAATTGTAGCGGTTGGCAACTGGAAATTCAAAGGAGCCTTGGGTTTGGCCTCCGGAAGAGGAGCGGCCATTGCAAATTCCCTCCCAGCGGCTCCCAGACGTCCTCTTGACAAGGGTTGCACCCCCCCCCCTTCACGAGTTGGAGCCGCCCCTCTTGACGAGGCTTGCGCTCCGCCCAACCGCCTCACATAAAGCCCATGTTATATTGCTTCTTCCGGCACCCACCAACACAGCGTTTCAGAAAGCTTGCATGGAGTGCCCTTTCAGAAAGCTGGCAATCCCAGGTCATCCAAGGTCCATGGTGGCCATAATTCCCGCCAGCATAGCCTCACAGAAGGCCCATATTGCATTTTTCTTCCGGCGCCCTCCATGACAACCTTACAGAAAGCCCACATGGACAAAACGTAGTCAGAAGGCAGCCTGGCATGTTCTTTACCAGCAGGCTTTCGTTCATGATTTTCATTTTTGTTAGGCCTTGCTTGTGTGGAATTAAACCTCAAAATGTTTGAACTCAGGGTGGTCTTGGGGTGGGCTGTCTGCTAATTACGCACAGATGCGAGCGGCCTCGGCCTGGGTGTGCACACACCAGCGAGCACCCATGCTGTTAGCACAACCTTAACCCGAAACCCAAAGCCTTGTGCTGCAAAACCTGCAAAATCTAAAAGCCACCCGCCCACCCACCCACCCACCCACCCACCCACCCGCTCATCTGAATAGTGTGGCGTCCTGACTAATTACCATTAATCTACACTATCATATGCAATACCTCAAAACCGTAGTCTGATCTCAAGCCAACCTAAACCCCTAAAGTTGAAATCGCCAAACAGGGCCTTAAAGGAACGCGCCACGCTGGAGACACCAAAAAGCTCTAAAATCAATAGGCCCGTGAGGCCTGTAACCAATGCCTTCAAAAGCCCTGAACTAAATAGCTTCAGCGTCGCACTAAAATAGGCACAACAAGCCTTCACAATCCGTGAACCCGTGTCCTGAGCCCCTAAACCCTCAACCCTAAAAACCCTACACCCGAAACCATAAACCGTATAAGCCTTAAGTCCAAAAGCTTTCAACAGCCCTAGGATCGAGGCAGTGGAGGCCCTCAAAGTGCTGGGTGCCCGTCACTCCGAACGTTCGCTGAAGGCCCTGGCACCAAGGCGTTCCCACAACGCTTTGAGGTGTTTTCATATGGGACTTTCCGAAAGTCAGGGTACCTTATTTTGGGGTCCTTATTATTATAAGGATCCTACTATTTAGGGTATTATATTAGGGTCCCCTATTTTCGAAAACCCCCATATAAAGTGGAGTTTCTAACCGGCATTTTAATTTTTTGTGAGTCTACCTCGGGCTGCTTTAAACGAGCATGGTGAGCGCATATTTAGGTCCTACCATGGGAGTACTAGCGCAAAAAATGCTCTACCTTTTCTGACGCTGTAGGTACTTCTAGAAGGATTTTCCGTTAAGCGTTTCTGTTTGCAAGCGTTCTGGTGGCTTGGGAAGAGTTTCGGGAGGATTGTGTTTCATCAACTGGGTAGGTCTCTGGGTTTTTTGATTTTGTCTTATATCGGGCTTAAGCAGGTCTTGTTCACAAGAATCTTTCAGAGGCTTGCACGGGCCAACCTTGTCGCCAGGCTTGGAGAAAGTTCTGGGTTCCGGGGTGACCGCAGTAACTGAGAGTGGAGGATTTCTGGAAACAGCAAAACTATACCATAAATCGCAACGGGATCCTGAATTCCTAAGGTGTTTTCCTACGCAAGGTCTATTGGGGGGCATTGGCTCTCTGACTTCAGTGATTGCCTCTACTCCTTACAGCCCCAAGCCCTCAAATCGTAGCCCGAAGTTGCCCTGAACCGCCGACGCAAGCCCCTTCGAATCCTCAACGCCAAGTCGCCAAACAGACACCATATCCCTAAGGGTCCAAAGGACCTAATAATCATGTACTTGGGTTACGGATAGTAGTTTTGTAGGTTAGTATTCAGAAGAGTATACGATTATTAGGTACTTGGACGCTTAGGGTAATGGCCTTTGAATTGCAAATATTTGTTTCAGTACTGATATAGTTGGATCCTTGACGCGAGGATCCCTATGCAAGCCCCAGACCCCAAACCCTACAGGAACCTTAAACCCTAAACCCCAAACCCTAAATAGATCCTAAACCTAAACCCTAAAGGTCTGGCCTAAATCCTTAACCCCAAAACCTAAACTTCAAACTTTCTGAACCTCAGGCTGGTTTCACACTCTGCAGACCTTCGGAAAGCTGTGCTTAGCGCCATACAGCAGGGGTGGAGCTCAGATGACGAGGAATGTGCCTCGTTTTGTGTTTAGGGCTTATAGGGTTTAAGGTTTAGGGTTTAGGGTTTACACGGTTTAAGGATGAGTTGTGCCGGGTGCGCTTGGTGTTGCGGAGGCGGGGGTGGCTAAGTTTTGAAAGGCTCAGCACCCAGTAAACCCTAACCCTAACTTAGGGCTTAAGCCCTAAAGCTCAAAACAACCCTAAACCCCTACCCTGGCCTACACCCTGCACCCAGAGTCTAGTGAGGGACCCGATGGACCAGAGAAGTTCGGGTAGGATATTCCAGGTTTAGCGTTTGGGGTTTTATGGCTTTGGGCTTTAGGTTCCAGGTTTATTGCTTTTGGGATTGGGGTTTGGGGGTTTGGGGTTTAGGGGTGTAGGGTGTATGGTTTGATATTCCGGGTTGTGGGTTTGGAGTTTTAGAGTTTATGGGTTGCGGGTTTGGGGTTTAGGGTGTAGCATGGGTTTGCTGAACGCTTTTTGTGCAGAAATGCCCACCCCAAGACCGCCCAAACACTGCTCACAGCGAGACAAACCATCGAGCCAGCCGAACCAAAAGGCAGCCAAGCCAAAGCCGATCATTCTACCAAGGGGTAGCAAGATATTAATTAGCTCCCGGTCGGCTTGGAAACGCATGTTGACGCGTTGGGGCTGCGGTAGGAGCCGCTCCCTGAAATCGGGTGCGGGTTGGGGGGTCCTGGTGGAGTTGGAGGTTGCCTGAAGTCGTGAAGGTTACTTCCCAAGCCCTAACCTTCCCCCCCCTCCCCCCTTCTAGCAGCAGATAAACCCATCCGTCCGTTCCACCGAAATCCTATCTGCGGCCCAGGTGCTGCTGTGCTTGTCAACGCCTTGCCGCAATTCTCAACCGGAGCCTTTTCTTGATGATACTGTTTAGGGCTTGCATGTGGGTTTAAGGTTTTGGTTAGTGGGATCATGCTTCGGATCTCAGTTGGCTGAAGAAGCAACGTAGTTCTGGTTAATCTTAAACTGTGCTTCGTTGTTTTTCCCCTAAATTCGTTTTCCAAAAATCGAAAATCTTACGGAAGCCAGAAACAACATATTACTATGGACTCAGATCTAAAGGCCAGTACCACCACCACCAACCACCACCCCCAACCACCCCACACACCACCACCACCACCACCACCACCACCACAACCACCACCACGACCCACGCCACAGCCACCGCCACCACCACCAGCACCCACCCGCACCACCATCACCCACACCACCACCAACACCACCACCCTCACCACCACCACCACCACCCACACCACCACCAACACCACCACCCTCACCACCACCACCCACACCACCAAACACCCTAGCCCTAAACCCTGAACCCTAAACCCCAAACCCTAAACCTTAAACCCTAAACCATGCCAGCTGCAGCTAAGATGTTGAAGCTCCGCGACAAGAGGCTTTGGAGGCCCTGATGCATTTCCATCCCAGCCATCCCGACGTGGTGGGTCGCAGCTTTGCGAATAAGGGTTCGAGGTTTGGGCGTCATGAACTTGCGGTGTAGGTTTGTCATCAGGAGGTGTTGCTCACGGAGGTTAGATCGGATAGATTCTAACTTCATTGTAAGATGGGAATCACAGGTAATGTAGACCCCTGCCGAACAACCCCCCTCCTATATAACAATCGAATCAAGAGTAATGGTAGTCAGAATTGTTGAGGATCGCACTGGGGATCCTCTATTACGTCCTTTCGCGACCTTTTGCACTACACCCAGTCAAGGCATACTGGCAGGCCTCAACGTGGGCGAAGACGCTGCGCAGTTGGCCGCTTGGCGGCACTAAGACTTCACGGCGTGGCGCTGCAGGCATGGATCCTATAAGATCACTCCTTAGGGCTCGAATTCAATCCTTACCATAGCCTTATACTACAATGTAGAAGCTTGAATATTTCGTAGCATCGTAGCTCTTACTTGGGGTTCCTGAGTAGATTGTCGCAGAAGTCCAAAACTTTAGTCTACTTATTCAGGCTGCTACGTACGCGACCTTGCCTTGCACATCGCCATGTCCTAGAGTTTTAGTTGGGTAGTTCTCCAAATTAGGGGCCTGTCTGAGGTCCCGACATAGAAATGCACCCTTCTACACAGGACCCCTAAAAGCGTATAACTTAGAGAACTCCGCAATTCCTCTAGAACCCTGATGCTGTACGCTAGCAAGAAGATCTCCAAGCTGCTTAGCTGTTGGGACCACGGTTTAGGTTCTAGGGTTTAGGGTTTAGGGTTCTGTTGGGATGGGTTGACGGACGTGACAGTCCTTGCGCGACGTAACGTAAGTCCCCAAGTCATTCTGTGCTGCCAGTTTTACCCTATGCCCTATGCCTTATAATTTCTGCCCTGAACCCTAAGCCCTAGACCTAAACCCTAAACCTAAACCTCAAACCCTAAACAAGCAAGAACCGTAAGGTCAGCCTTGCCTATTTCGAGCGCGTGGCAGTGAGTGCGGATGCGGAGTCGTTGGTCGCTGGCACATTGCAACTTAGGGGTGCTTGGAAATTATTCCGAGTTTTTGGTGACTATAATCCCAAACAGCAGCTAAAGTTAGTTTTTGATGTTTGGTTACTGTCACTAAGAAACAGCTACAATCATAATTTTTGCAAGGTATCAAGTTCAGAACAGGCAACCCTAGGTAGCCTACTTGTGGCTCTCTTAAAAGGGGACCATATTGAGAGGGTCTTTCTCCCCAAGGGTCCCCCTAATCCTAAACCCCTAAACCCTAAACCCTAAGCCCTAAGCCCTAAACCCTATAGTCCTAACTCCCAGGCAACACATGTTCGAAGAAGGCCGCCATTGGATCCCATCCACTCGTCAGGCGGGGCTGCAGGGTAGGGTTTTCGGGTTTAGGGTTTAGGGTCAATTCTGGAGCCATTGTTCTGCCTGGGTATAGGATGTTGGCTTCAGGGTTTGAGGTTCAAGGTTTTGAGTTTAGGGTGTTTGATGTTGACAGTTGTGCACATGTTGGAAAATATCAGTTGCAGCTACCTCTCGGATTGGTGTTGCGTGCTGCTTTATGGGTAGTAGGGGTGACCTCGAGTCCTGAAGGACTTCTCGTCTTAACTTGCAGGAATGGACACCCGACACAAAGTTCCCCTCGGTAGGCTAGTAGGTGGTGCGGTTTGGTCTTGTCCCTTCTGTTATTTTTTGGAAAGTTTTGTAACTCAGTAGCTGAGTAGGTAACCTTTAACCCTCTTGGGCTTATATGTTCCTACCATAATTGAAAGGTTAACCTTTTTTGGGCTAGGGTTCTCAGCCCCTAAGATAATGTATATCATTTAGATGAGTTATGGGCTGCATCGAGCATCTTGATTTTGTTGACTCGGGCTCAGGCTTTAGCCCGTGGCTTTTCACGGCAGACGGACCCGACGGAAGCAGACAACCTTACGGAAACCGGTAGGCAAAACAGCATAGAGTTCCGGAGTTTAGGGCAGCATTGAAGTTACTGGTCGGCCTCTGAATCAGGGATTGAAAACACGGGGGCATCACGTCGGGCAGCACTTGGGTTGTGGGTTTGCCGAAGCATTCCTACACGCCCTAAACCTTAAACCCTGAACAAGAAGCCCGAGTCACCCTAGCCCTGTGTCATCCCCGAAACCGACACACCGACACCTCACTGAAGCTTACACCACTTGAGCCTTCAATCCGAGCCCCCTGGACCCTAAAAAAAGAGGCCTTTACAATTACCCATAGTATTTGGGGGGGTTCCTGTTTATAAGTATAGTATAATATACCACCAAAACCCAACTCTAATTATTAAGGCCCCTGCATTTCAGTCTGGGTCCAAGACCCTGAACGAAAAGCCTTTCAAAGCTATCGCAAAACCCCCAGCCCTAACCCTCCAGGTACCTTAGGGACTCTAGTACCGTAGTAGGCACCTGGGGGGCTAGGGCAATGCTGAAAACCTTGACGCTAGATCTGAGACGCGAGGCCTCAACCGAAACCACAGCACCCGAAGCCCTGGAAGACCCTGGCATCAGCCCTATAATAACATCCGTACAAAACTGGGTCGTTGTTACGGGATTCAGTTTAAGTTACCATAGTAAGGAAACCACATTATTGACGATAGATCACTATTAAACTGGGTCGTTGTTAAGGGAATCAATTTAAGTTTCCATAGTAAGGAAGCCACATTGTTTACTATAGATCCCTATTATGGCAACTTAAATTCAGTCCCTTGACAAGAGCCCAGAAAGCCTTAGGTGGTTCTCCGCGCCCTGGAAGTCGCAGCAAGCCGTTCCTACGACGGGGTACGTCTGGGGCTGCTTAAGCACCTGACTCCCACGAGGCCCCACCACGGGCTTAATGTCTATTTATCCACTCTTCTTGAGGGTTTAGGGTTTGGGGGTTAGGGTTTAATTTGGAGGTTTCCGAAAGTAGGGGACCCTAATCTAGTAATTGCCCTAAATAGCAGGATCCTGATATTATAAGGACCCCAAAACACGGTACCCCCTATTTTCTGAATCTCCCATATGGTTTAAGTTTAAGCTAGAGGCCTGAAGAATCCGAGCAGAGTCCCTCGAAGGACCGCTTCCCGGGTTCGACTATACAGGGCCTTTATGATCCTGAATGCTGTGAGTAGGGCCAAGAGGGCTTCGGGGTTTAGGGTTTAGGGGTTTAGGGTTTGGGGATACACCCCTAAAGCCCGAAATCCTAAGCCGTACAGTATCGTTTTGTGAAGATGGTGAGCCCTATGAAATGGTTTTGGTTATAGTATGTTCGTGTGGTGGCCTTGAAGGTCTTCTGGGGGGGGGGGCCTTACAGGACTAAGGGCTAGCCGCAAAGTTTAAGAATTTGATTTGTTTAGGGCGTAGGGCTGAGCTTCGAAGCCTACACCCCATAAGGTAGACCCAGGATTTGGGGCTTAGGGCTTTAGCCCCAAACCCTAAACCCTAAACCCTAGACCCCAAACCCCCAAACCCCTAAACCCCTAAGCCCTAAAAACCCTAAACCCTAAACGCCCCAAACCCTAAATCCTAAAAACCCCTAAGCCCCTAAAAACCCT